AGAATAGCATGATTTCTCCTTCTTGCTCCTGTTTTTGGTGTTGTCCTTTGTCTTCTGGTTTTAGCTTTAAAACCTTGAAGTTTTTCCCCCATTGTGAATTGGGTAAGATGCATTTTTAGAAAACAATAAGGATCTCATGAGGCTAGAGCTGGGTCTAATAAAGACTAACTGGGGAAGGGCAAGAACCAAATGATAATGTTTCACTTATTTTTATGAAAATTACCCAAAAATAGGAAGAGGAAAGAGCTGGAATTAATATTCTAATTAATGCAAGTCTCACTTGCATTTTGATTTTTTGAAGTCAAACAGAACAAGAAATATTGGCTAGGAAATGAAAAATTGAAATACTATTTTTTTTGTTTTTCATGCAAAAAGCTTTAATCCATTATTGGAAATATCCATAAAATATTTTTCCATATATCCTGTAGAAAGCTGGTCCTTTAGAAAATACCTAAATTCTCTTTCTGTATCTGTGCCAGATACTTTAGGCTTAATGTAGAAATCACAAAATTTGTTAATATAAAGCACAGCAAATGAAGCAGGACTTTGGGTAGAAAGGCCCCTGGAAGGCTATTGATTGAATCTGCAGGTTCATTAATCACCTATGGATAGGAGTTTTCTTTTTTTTTTTTTTTTTTTTTTTTTCCATGAGCCAGAAGACAGATGAAGAAAGGGTGGTTCTACAACTCATTTTATGACAGTAATGGAAAGTCAGAACTTTACTTTATTTCAAGTGTGTATCCACCATCTGTAGGGAGCTGGAGCAGAACTGAGTGATAAGGCCGTGACCTTTGATCATCTCTCAAAATGAAACCTCATTGAACAACCTCTCTGGGTGAAATTTAGCCCTTGGATATGAAGGTATTTCTAGTAAAGACATGCATCTGTGAGCAAAACACAGCTACAGGACTCCAGGCCAAATAAATCTGATCAGAATATGAAGTGAATTTTCACTGGTTATATATAGGGAATGGTGTTGGATCAGTTGGATGAGAAGTCCTGCAGAACTCTGATAAAAATTATCTTTATAAAAACTAACAAATTGGGTTTGGCCATCTTGAGTCATTTTATTGTTATTCTATATTTGTCAGCGATTACCCAGAACAAAGTTTTCAGACTGTCCAGGAAATTAACTGAAGATCAGTTACTGTGCTGTCTTCCAAATATATGGCTCTGCAGCTGACTACAGACCCAGACACACAGCCATAAATAATCTCTCATGTTTTCCAGCTCATCAAATTGAAATCTGCTTCCCTGGGAGGAGGCAAAATGCAATTGGTGCATTACAAACAAATTTATTAAAAGGTGTGTTCAATCTGTCATGAAGCATGAGAAATCATCAGTGCTTAGTAGGGAATGAGATTTTTCTTCCCTTTAACTTTTTATTTTATGAGTATGAATGTATCTGAGAAACTCAATAAGAGGAATAGCATGGAATAAGTTTACCTTCTAGAAGTCAAAAGCAAAGACCAGACCTGGAGCTGATTAATGGCTGCATAATCTATCAGCTCAGAATCAAGGAGCTGTGGGTAGAGGAGAAGTTATTTGTAAGGTAATTTAGCTTGACCTAATGAAGGCTAAGTTCCCATAGACTGTGGCAAGATCTATCAGTCTCTCTGGCTCTGGAAGCACTTGGAGAGTTTTCTTACTGTACCATCATAAGTGTATTTGTTGTTTATGAAATATTACAGCAAAGAAGATTTTTTCTTTAATTCTTTTTACAAAGTAAGACTAGAGCAGTGGTGGTAGTGCCTCTGGGATAACAAATTATTATTAGAAGGGGGAAAACTGCCACAGCAGGGTACAGATGTAGAAAATCCTTTCACCCTCTTTAGTCTGCAGTAGGAATGATTAAGTTTCTCCCTTGGCACAAACTTTTTGTTTAGCAAGTCCCATTGTGTCAGGCCTGTATTGCAGCAGATAATGGCAGGTGCTGTGGTGGGGTGAGAGAAAACTCCTGCTGACTGTAGACAGAAGTACCTGAGGAAGGTGACTCATCTGAAGGGTTTTGTTTGCACACACTTAGACCAAACTGGGGATATTTTGCTAACTGGTGGATACCAAAGAGTAGCACATTTCCAGCATTCACCAACACAGCTTGGTACCTTCAGCTGCCTGAAGTCTAGAATTTGATCAGTTGTGCTTGACCCTCCTGTCAGCTCCTGCCAAGGAGCTCTCTTGGGTGCCTGTTCTGTACAGAAGGTGCTGGAGAGGGAATGAAAGCAAAGTGATTCCCCTGACACCTCAGTATCCCCAGATACCTGAACTCCTCTAAGGTTTTCCATCTTTGCAGCAAGTCTTACTGCTTGGATAAGCATTGGTTCCATCTCTCAGTTTCCTGACTGCAAAGTAAGTTTGGGCCAGTTTTCTTCACATGGATAAGCATGGTGGTCACTAGGCATGAATGAGGAATCTTGAATTCTACATTGTGGAATATTTTTGCATTGTTGAAGATAACATAAGAGCAGCCCATGGCTGTTTGCCCACCTGGTTCATGCCACCAATTATTTGCTCAAGAAGGGCTGAGGGTCTGGTACAGTCTGTGTAAGACACTGCAAAACCTTCCAGTGGTTTCAGTGACTTCTAGTTGAAATTGCTTTGTTGATAGTCTTTGCTACTTTCCTCCAACAAAAACATTGTCTTTTTTAATAAGGGGAATTATCTGTGTTCTTTCACCGTAGCTCTGCCTGTTTACCCTGTTGCTTTATTTACACTGTAGTCTTACCAACATTTAGTTTGTTCATGTTTCCATTAAATTCCACCAGGAATGGTCTTTTGGGGCTAGTTTTCAGTTTGCTGTTATATTCCTTTCTCACCCAGCAAATCCAGCTGCTGTATTTTTTTTCCCCACTGCATTATTCAGCCTTGTACTCTTTCCCAGGTTTTCCTCCTCTTTCTCCTCCTTCCTCCTCCTTCCATGCAGAGGAGTGTTCTGTGCTGTGCCTTTTTGTTTTGGTTTGGGTTTTTGTTTTTTGTTCTTCCTTTCTGATTTTGTCATTTCCTTGTGATATCTCCCTGGAAAGAAAAGAAGCAGAGAAGGAGCCACGGAAGGAGGCAGTACAGCCATACTTAAAATACATATGGAGTGATGGATGGTAGTTCAACATAATGCCTGAGCTCTCCTCACCTGTTTTGTTGCTTTATGCTAAGCAGAACTGCCACACTCTCTCCATTTTAAAGATGGATGAAAGGGTTCAAACAGCAAAAACAGCCAGCTCAATCTTTTATGCTTGCAAAGCAAGGCTTCAAAATGTAGCTTAAAGCTGTCTCTAGATGGTGCAGGCTAAATGTGGCAGCAGTGGCAAGCTCCTGGACCTTCCCACAAGAGTACCAGAGGAATTTTGGGGCTCCTGTCCCAGAAACAGCTGTCAGAGAAACAAGACTCACTGTCAGGATTTGCATTCACTCATGTACTTCAATCAGTTGTAATTCTGTTACAGGGTTTTATGTTTTCTAATGATGTTGTTTTGATTTTTCTTTTAATAGTAGTGTCATTGCTTACTCTGGAAGTATACTTCATTTGCTTAGACACTGCAGTATTCCAGGGACATCTCTCTTTTCAGAAGGAAATTAATTCAGTGTTTAACTCATAGGGGTATCTTCTGCAACCTGTTTTTAATGGGCAAAGCAAAGATAAATTCAATATAGTGCAAATCATAAGAATAATGTCCAATGTCTTCCTGCCTCCTTTCTTGGGGCAGACCTGCCAGGCAGCATTACAGAGAACTCCGGTGGGAAAAGGAGATGCAGAAAGTGCTGCCATCAGTCTTTGCCTGCACTTAGATAAACCCATTGACATTCACAGACTGTAATGGCAGGAAAGCTTTCCAAAACCATTTGACCAGAGAAATTTGAGTTATCATATTGTCGTATCTCAGTCTGACAGGGAAAATGATTTGTCAGTCAAAATGTCTCGTAAACACAGACATTTGATTCAATTTAATCAGAGGCAGCTCCTTGTGCAGAATGTGGGTGGCTCATCCCCAGGGGAAGGGGGAATGGAAGAGCAGGGAATTCACTCCTGCGCTGTGTCAAGGTCGTTCTGGCTCAGCAGGGAATGCATCAGAAGAAATGCTGACTGCCTGGGGAGAGGGAGTTTCTCCCAGGCCTTGGGAACAGCTCCCCATTCTGGCTCAGCATGCCCATCTAGGCTGGGACTGAGGTTTGTGTGCTGGAGTCAGCCAGAGCCTGTTGGAAGAGGGAAAATCCAAGTATCCCTTTATCCCTGAATGCCACGGTGAGGATGGTGCTGGCCCAGTGCCAGCCAACAGCACCCAGAGTTTCCTTCTGCAGGCACTGGTAGGCCTGAGCAAATCTCCTTGTGCTAATGGGCTTATTAAGATCAAGCCAGTGCACTTTGCAAATCTACACAAAGAGAAATTAGAGCCCAGATTAGATTAGGGGCTGAAGGCTGGGAGCGTACAGCTGTTTGCAAAACTGCACGCTGAATTTCATTTCTGAATAGACTTTTACTGGTAGGAATTTGAAGGCAATCATTAGAGCCTTTGAATGAGAAATTTCAAGGGACATTTCAGCATAAATCTACTCCTCTGCTATAAGAAATGATTCCTGATATGCTTTGGGCTATGGAAACCAATTACATGAATTTTGCACAATAATCTGTTTCTCCCAAACAGGGATAGCACTGCTGGCCATAAAGACACCTTTTTACTTCCAATTAACTGTGTGTGTGTGTAAATATGAGGAAAACTGCCTTTTCAACTTAATAAACAGAAAACAATGGGGAAAAGTAATCATCATTTACAGTTAGAATATGAGGCTCTGGCCATCCTTATTCCTATCCTCTGCAAGCCAGCTGGAATTGTGAAAACAAACCCTTTCCCATTAAATCATAAATACTGCAGGTTTTATTCCTCACTGACTCCTAGGCTCCAAGATTTAGGAAAGTATAGGATATTAATTTCCAGACCTAAATTTGCTATAACTCACAGTGCTCTAGTTGTCATTTAAACTTCAGGTGTGTTTTTCTTCTATTGCAGATACTCCAGAGCTGCCCTGTAATCCTGGAATCCTACTGAATTCACACCCTGGCAAGATAGCAATGTCAAAGGGATGCAACTGGTAATTCTGCCTGGCTGCCAAACTGCCTCATGTCACCCTGCTTTCAATGGCTGCTGACAAGGTATGTGTTTTACCTGCTTCCAAGTGCTTTAATCTTAGTATTAGTAGAAAAATAAGCCATTATTAATGCTTAAAGCCATTGTTATCATCTCTCTCTGCCAGCTGGTTCTGTATTAATATTAGTGTTTCTAAACTGAGGCTTTGTACATGTGACTCAGGCTCCCATGACATTAGTTTGAAAACCCTGAGAGCATTTTCTTACACAAAAATTGCACAGGGAAGGAAGAGGGTCTTTTTATTTACCTTCAGATTCCCATCCTTGAGGATTTTCTTGCTGGGTATTCTCAGGTTGCAGGTGCAATTAGAAGATTTAATTGATTTTGTATGAACAGTGGGATCCCTTCATTCCCCAGGAGCAGCAGGTTTCATTAAAACCACCACCCAATATCATGAAACATGCAATTAAATTCTTGAGCTGCCACCATAGTTGCAAAAAATGGTTTATAAAGCCCCAAGTGATAAATATGTTGAGAGAGGATGCTCTGGGGGGGCGTGAGCTGCTCCAGCTCCTGCTCTAACAGGGCTCTGGGTGCTTGGTGAGAGGCACAGCACTGCTCAAAGCAGATCTAGCCAAGCCTTTAGCCCAGCTGGGCCAGGACAGCTGCAACCACAGCACCTGCATGTCTTCTGTGTGGAGGCAAAGCTCTGTAATTGCTCTTGGACTTGTGTTAATCCATGTCTGTGTTAATCCATCTCCTGGCTGGGAGATGGAAGGATGGACCATGAAAGCTTCAGTTGCATCTTCTGGGCCGCTTGCAAAGGTTGAGCTTATTGCAAAGTTTTTCTTCCCAAGCAGTAGTAGCACTGGGAAAGCAAAAAACCAACCCCCAAACTTTGCTGAATAGAAAGGGAGTGAGTGCTTTATGCCAATTTTTCTTTCAGTTGCTTGGCTTAGTGCAGTGATGGTAGTACAACACGGGGGAAGTTGTGCCTGCCAGGTTGAGATGTGGACTCATATCCAGCCAGGATATGAGGATTTGGCTGGGAGGGGAGAGAAATTTTCCTTTGTTAACTACATTTGCATCTCACACTGAGAAGAAGATCAAAGTTTAAAATGAGCAGGCCAGCAGAACAGTGCTGGATCTGTGATCCAGGAGTCCAGGTGTATCTTCCCTTAATGTTCTCTTGAAGGATTGAAGCACAATCAAAAGTTCATTTGAAATTGTGAAAGTCATAAGTGAGGAGCATTGGTAGGTCAGAAGGAAGAGACACCAAGGACTAAACTTGCTATTTTGGTCTGTTTTTTAACTCCCACTATTTAAAAAAAAAAAAAAAAAAGAGTGCGTTGTAGAACCAAAAACTCATCTACCACAACATTCCTTTCCCTTTGCAATTAGGGAAAAAAAATTCCTTCCAGGTACTGAAGAAGAGAATATGTGCAGGGTTCTGTGGTCCCTGTCCATGAGCCCTGGCTGTCTGCTGTCCTTTCCTTCAGCTGCAGTCTGCTGGACTCCTGTCTTTCCATGGGAGGTGGACCTTGTGGCCTCACACACAGAAATTGCAGGAAAGTAGGTGTCTCTCATTCAGGTATTTACTAGTTTATTCACCCTTTGAGGCACTGGAGCGAGGTTGTCTTTTTTTAAGTAAGACCAATATTTGGAATAATTTGTGATTTCAATTTTAAACAAGATTGGTGTGATTATGTAGCAGCAGATGCTGGGAAACATGAAGTGTTTTATCTGGCAGGTCCTATCTCTGTATAGGTCTAGCAGGCCAAGAGACAGAGCTTTCCTGGGAATACACCACAGGAACAGCATCCAGCTTTTTTTCCCTTTGTCCTTTTTTTCTGGGAGCATTTTTGTCCTGCTGGGATGCATTTTCATCCTGCTGAGGCTGTGTGTGTGTGTGAGCATCCCCAGCATCCCGGGGGACCCTCTGGGAAGTGCTGCAGTGTGCGGTGCCGATAAGGAGATGAAACAATGGCTGTGATACCAAGAGCCTTCACAGAACTGCTTGGTGAGGATGTTGCAGAGTCAAAAGCTTTGTGCCTTCGCTGCAGATGTGCTCACTCCTGAATGTTTAACTCCTTCTCCTCCTTTTAACTGTGTAAGTTCATGCACAGCGGATAAGAGCATCTGAATTTGTGAATGCTGAGGAAATGGCACTTGTGTTTCTTCTCACTTGCAAGGGTTTATATTGTAAATGCAGGCAAACCCAATGGGAAGAAATTACAATGTCTGACTCAATTCAGAAGGCTGAATGATTTCTTTATTATAACTATGCTAAAATACATTAATATACTATATAAAAAGGAAGATACTAAAACTACATACTACTTTCTCTGACTCTGACACAACTCGTGACCCTCTCTGAGAGCCCAGCCCCAGGTGGGTTTGATTTTCCATCAGGCTCAAACAATCCTCACCAGAATCCAGCCAAGCACTCACTCCAGGTAAAAAATTCTCCAAACACATTCCACATAGGAAAAACAAGGAGCAGAAATAGAAATTGTTTTCTTTCATTTCTCTCTGTGCACCTCTATGAAAAATCCTGAGAGGGAGAGAAATGTGCTTGCCACAGGTTTACATTTCCCTTCTTCCAGTGCCCCTGTGAGACCTGTAAACCACTGTAGTGCACCTCAGGCCCTGACCCTATATGAAGATTTAGAGATGCCCAAGCTGTGCCTGGCAGAGGTGGGAAACCTGAGATGTCCTTGCTTGAGATCCTCAAGTGGAGCTAAGGAACAAAATTTCTTATATTATTGATGCCTCATTTCCTCAATATTGCCACAAAGATTTATGTGAAGGGACTTTCAGGGTGTTAATGGAATTACCCACCTAAATCTCCCCCATGCTTGGCAGGGAATGCTCTGGTTCTTTGCCCTCATGTTAGTGCTGGGTGAGTAATTGAATTTTTTCTTAGCTAGCAAAACAAAAAGTCTTTGATTTTGTTGGTAGTGTTGAGGCCTTTTCAACACCTGATTTTTTAATACCTTTACTTAGGCTTGAGTTATAATTTGAAATACAAAACAAAAACATTTTAATAATTTTTACCATTCCAGTGCCAGCAATGGTCAGTGGTTTCACTCAGTAAACTCTGCCTTTTTTTTTTTTTAATTAACAAAATGCCATCCTGCAGCATTCCACTTATCTCTGTTTAGTGTGCCTGCTCCTGTCAGGACTTTAATGTTGCTTCAGTTCTGGTGCTGATTTTGCTGACAAGTCCTTTCCCATTGTCTCATGGCTGCCAGTTAATTTCCTAAAATCCCCCTGGGTTTAGTGTCTGTGCCAGGGCACAGAACTGCACTGGCTGAGCTTGGGGAGGATAAAAAGAGCAGCACAATCACTTGTGCAGAGCAGAACCAACTTCTAGTCTGGTGAAAATGACTGAAAGAGTAGGAATAATTCTGGAAAACCAAGATGGGAGGATACAACTGGGTGTGGGCAGCCTCTTCTGTGAAACCACTTCTATGAGCCTTGTTCAAGTGTGTGCACAGACCTGGGAATGATGTATTCCTTGTCATGGGCCTGCTCCTGTGGAGCTGTGAGTGTTGGCAGGAAAGGTGACCAGGTCAGCTGCTCCATGCACTAAGAGGACAGCTTGTGCCTGTAAAGAGAAATACAAGTGCAGGACACTGGAAGTATGATAGTCTGAAGATTAATGACAGAAATGTGTTTGAGGAGAGGAAAGTAAGGAGGAAAAAAGGAGCCTAAATCAGGCTGCAGCTCCCTGGGCAGAATACTCAGGTTATAAATACTCTGGCAGCATTTAGAGCAGGGCTGGCTGTGCTGGTTGCACTTTGCTGTCCTTGACACTCTGTGTTTATTCATGCTACTGTTGTGCTGTGCTGACAAAGCCACCCCAAGTGTCTCTGAGGTGTGGAAGGAGGCTGTGCATGGCTTTGGCAGCAGGATTGACTCTTGACTCTGCTGGAGAGTGTGGGGGTTGTGCCCCATTTGCCATGGCAGCATTTCACTGTGAGCATTTCACTGCTCAGCTGGTGCCAGGGATGCTGGGTTTAAAGAGCAAGTGACTTTTCCACACCGTCACTGAGTCACCCTGATCTTTGTGATCAAGCTGGCACAAGGGCTTGAAAGTCATCATCACCATCCTCTCCAGCCCCAAAGCTGACAGGCAAGGGAAATTGAGGCATGAAGAGGAAAATGTGGGGTGCTGATGTCTCAACTGGGTGGGAGAGCTGGGAGCAAAGCAGCAAAATGCTTCTGGTTGTCAGGCTTAAGTCACAGCAGATTTCAGCCTTCAAAACCCCCCAGTGATTGTTTTAGAGGGTTGCTGCAAGGAGCCAGTACCTGCAGTGAGCTCCACCTCTCCCTCCCTTTGTCAGGGGAACCAAGATGTCAGGGGCATTCAGCCAAACGAGTCAGGCACTGGGCACTGTTTGCTGAGCTGCAGTGTTTGGGATCACTGGGAATTGCTGCATTGCTGAGTGCAGCCAATCCCCTTAGCAGCACAGCACTGCTCCTGAAGGATCCCAGCCAGCTGCTCCTGTCTGCTGTGCTGCATGGAAAGGAAAAGTGCAACCCAGCCTCTGGTTCCAGGGAAAAGTCTCTCTAATCTGGGATAGCTCTACCCTGAGCTAAAGGGAGGTGCCTTTAATATGATAGTAGGGCTGCTATGTCAGGATGAATACTTTTTTTATTTGTAAAAGAAGAACTTTATTCCTGCCATAAAAAAGTTTAGTGAAGAGAGTTGACCGAGGTAATGTTTTTAGAAGTTGAAAATATCAGTAACTCAAATAAAAGGCAACAATTATTGCTTTTTTTTTTTTTTTTTTTTTTTTTTTTCTTATTTTAAAGCTCCTGAGAATTCATTTCCTGGTGTCATTGTTGTAACTCCAGATCTGAGGAATTAATTTGCATTTGTGTCAATCCCATGTATGCTTCTGTAAGTATTGTGTGCAATTCAGACTAAATGAACAGCTAAACTAAAACTGGTACTGAGAAAATCAAGCTGCAAACTGTGTGTATAGGCAGGAGTAAAACACTTTGCAAGAGCTCCACTGTGCCATCAGGTGTTCTCTGCTGGATGCAGTGTTTTTCT